GTTGTTGTTGTTTTTGTTGGTGATGATGCGAGTGTGGATGATAATGATGGTGATAGTGGGGAGGATAATGATGATGGTGGTGGTTGTGATTATGATGGTGATCGTCATCATTGTGTTCGTTTCATGGTCCTCTTTATTTTCTAAATCACATTCATCCATCACCATCTCCCTGATCTTCCAAGTTTTTTAGAACTTTTTCTTTCTTTCTAATTTGTCCTCTCTTTCTCTCTCTCTTTATCTTCCTCTCTCTCTCTCTCTCTCTCTCTTTTCCTTCCTCATCGTCATCTTCTTCATGATTTTCCATCATAATTTTTATAGTTTTATCATAATTGTCATCCCAATTGAGAGTAATAATGATACTTTCATCATCATTTTCATTATCATCATCTTCTTCTTCATCATCATCTTTATCATCATCATCTTTATCATCATCATCTTTTTCATCATCTTCTTCATCATCATCATCACCAGATTGGTGGTCTTGGATGGGCTGCAGAGGATGAACGCTGGAACGTTTGCTGTGCTGCACAGGTTGAAGGAGGATTATATTTAATTTTGTGGTGATTGCTATGATGATTACGATGGTGATGATGATTACGATGCTGATGATGATTACGATGGTGATGATGATTACGATGGGGATGATGATTACGATGGTGATGATGATTACGATGGTGATGTCGAGGATGATGAGGAGGATGACGATGATGATGAAGAGAAGGATTACGATGCGGATGAGGATGATGATGATGATGACGACGACTATGATGACAATTATAATGATGGTACTGGTGAAGGTGGTTATCTTTTCACTCTCCATCAATTCATTAGATCATCTATCCATCTATCTATCTATCCACCCATCCATCCATTCATTCATCCATCCGACCATCCATTCACCAGGTTGATCCAGGATAGAGAATTGGATCTATTTGATGGAACGCGGCTTCTCAGACATGATCGGTGGGCTGTGATGATGATAATGATGATGATGATTTTGGTGATGTTGAAGATGATGATAATAGTGGTGATGATGTAGATGATGATAATGTGTAATGAATGCAATGATGGCGGTGAGTAATATGATTCACAGTTTGATTATGAACTTATTGAATTGGTTCCTTGGTGTTATCGATGATAAACATACAAACTGATCGTGGGTAGCTTACGTTATGTTTATCTGTTGTCCTTAATTTCGTCCTTAATTTCAACCTTTTTTCTTTCAAAGTTTTAACTTTTTTCAATTAAATTTTTTAATCTTAATAGATTTGTTTATTTTTAATTATTCTTGAATTAAATTTTTTGGTTTCGACTTTTTGGACCGCGTCGACTGCCGCAATTAGGCGCTAAAACTAAAATGGCTACCAGAAGTTCTGCCAAGGAGAGGGATGTTGGTACTACTGCTGGGAAAGACAGGGCAGTTATCTCTATGGTTTCTTCTGTTTGTCGGGGTACTATCGCAAACAAATGGCCAGCTTTAACAGATGAAATTTTATCTGCCATTGGGGACATTAGCTGCGTTTCAAGGACACGTGAACAATGTCAAAATAAGGTTTCAACCACGTCTACCTCTTCAGCTACTCTCACCGAGTGTATAGAAGCGTTGCATAAGGAATTGACTGTTGAAATTTCCTGGTTTCTGGGGTCATCTATGTCAGGGTTATCTATGTCGGGGTCATCTATGTCGGGGTCATCTATATCAGGGTCAACTATGTCAGGGGTCAACTATGTCAGGGGTCAACTATGTCAGGGGTCAACTATGTCAGGAGTCAACTATGTCACTTAAAAATGATTTAAATAATCTGTCTATTAAGATTTTGAAATTTCATGAATGTATGGAATCTTTAAGAAATGATTTCAACAACATCAATGCTAATTTGAAAGCGGAAGTCTCTGGTAATTCTGCCCACTCCTTGCACAGATTTCTCCATAACACTGTTTTCTCAGTTTCTATACGTTTTTGGGATTTTTGCCTGTATATGTTAAAGACTCTCCATCTTTTGGTATATATAAAAATCTTGTTCGGGACTTATCATTATCGATTGTTTTCATCGTTATTTATATTCCGCTAAACTATATAATGTATGTATATGTATAATCGTATGTCTATTTTTGAACCAAATATAATGATGATTATATCATTAATTAAGATTATATGATTAAGGATGATGAATGATAACTGATAATTATAAGTAGAGATTAAAATATTAATGAGTAAATGATGAATATTGATTGTAATGTGTGATGACTAACGGCGATGATATTGTGCACAGGTACGATGCCATCAAGAAGAAACAGGGTTGGAGTGATGAGGATATGACGAAGAAGTTAGTAAGAATATCCCCCATTTGGTGATAATAAGTACGATGATGAATGATAATGATGACGATGTCAACGATGGTGCTGGATTTGATGATTATGATCGTATGATGAGACTGTTGATGTGGTTGATGATGATGATGATGAGGAAGAGAATGATGAGGATGGTGTCGAATCATTGTGATGTATTTTGGCATTTTTGGTAAGTTGGAACTTTTGATGATGTGAGTGATGAGAAGGGTGGCGATGATTATGATGATGACGATGAAGCTGGTGACTGAAATGATGAAAATGATGACAACTTAATGGGGATATTATTACGATGATGATTTGTGTAGTTGAGATGATATTGATGGGTCAGCGAGATAGCCCAATCGGTAGAAGTACTATGCCTCGCATTGCTATTACGCGATGGCCTGCTTTGAATGCTGTCTGCTCGAAACTTAAAGACTATCATACACCCTGCGCGTACAGATATATGTGCATGTAATGTGGCGGGGATAGCGCAGCCTCTGTGGCACAAAAGTTTGGTTCTAGGACAAAACTCCCCGGACAACAATTTTTTGAATCAAAACTCTCCAAAAAAATCCCCTGAGTACAAAACACCCCAAGACAAAAACTCCAGAGCAAAAGATTTTTCAGAATAACTGCCCTCAGACAAAAACTCTTCGAACAACCCCCTTCCCCCTGAGAAAAATCCACCCTGGATAAATACCCCAGGTGAAAACCCTTTAGTAAAAAATACGCCTTGACGAAATTTGATCTTTTATAAATCATCAATAATAAATAATATAATAAATAATCAATAATACCTCTTTCATTATATGATCTTACTGTGGATTTTTGCTTCGCGGCGGAAACTTTTCTGTTTGAATACCAGCAAACGCCGCCGCCAGCCTAGGCAATCTTGCATTTGGCCGGGACTCGCCTCCTCGCAATGTTTATCTCCGGGTCGGAAAACACGGGCCAGGTGGAAGTGCTTCCGCGCCCTGCTTGCCAGTCGGTCAATCCGGCCTTACTCACGGCTGACAAGTCTTCTTCATACATGTTTTAGATTTTGAATACGACAAACAAAAGCTAATTGAAATAAATTTATATTTATTAATAAACAAGAAAATATTCTGATGTAAATTATATGTAAATTGAACGTTTTCAAAATGTTTCTAAACTAAATAACAAACTAGACTGAATATTTATTCTAAATGAAATAAATTCTCACTATTATTATTATCATCTCCATCATTACTATTACCAATGTCATTACCATTACTACAATCATTCTTATTTTCGCCATCATTACTACCGTTATCATCACCAACGTTATTTTTACTGCAATTTATCCATATCAATATTGTCAGCAAGGATCATGCCATAGTCATCGGTTTCGCTACCACCAACTTTACCACCGTTATCACTGTTATTATTATCATCATTACTATCAAAATCATAATCATTTTCATCACTATCATTACCACCACCGCTAAGACCACCCTATATTACAATCACCATTTCCCATTATTGTTGTCATCACCTCTATCAATACTCTTGTCAATGTCATAATTATTATCATAATCGTTAACGTTGTTATCATTGATAACATTACCGCTATCACCATTCTTATTATTTTCATCACTGTTATTATTACCATTGTCATTATTTTTATTATTTATTATTATAACGCCCAAGATATTTATTATCATTATTGTTCCTACTATTTATTATTTATTTATTAATGATATCATCATCATCACCCCGATAGAAAATTTTCTTTTCTTATCCTCATCGTCATCCTCATCGTCATCCTCGTCGTCATCCTCATCGTCATCCTCATCGTCATCCTCATGATTAATTGAAAATTTTTTTCCTTCAACATTATCATCATAAAAATAAATTGAAGACTTTTGTTTCTTTTCATCATCCTCATTACC